TGTTTGGTCCTTGGTCTGTAAGATGACATCTCTTGGGTGATGGCGCGCGATCTCTATGGGAAGTTTCTCGATGGAGGAGGGGTAGGAGGAGGTTTTCGTGTGTGAGTCACGTGTGGTGAACTTTGAAAGTTTTGTAGTGTAAAATTTATTCTCTCTTATACATACGCTTCCTTTACTCTACAAAACCTATGCAAATAAGAAAAGCGTTAGTAATCTGTGTCAANGGTCAGATACTCTGTGAATGAGTCTGTACTGCAAGCTGAAGTCTATTAACAAGTTCTTGGGAGTGTCGGTCGTTCAATGGCAAGAGACCTAATCATTACACCCTTTGTACACAAACTCATACTCAAGTCATGAGCACATAATCTATGAGCTGTTGACTTGGAGTTTTCAAGACGTTTTTCTCTTCTATGTATTCATGGATAGAAGTAATAGTGAAAGTTAGTAAGTTGACATATAATGCCAAACAAAGCGTAGCTGACTGAGCCAGACCCATATCACAGCACACGAGTCCGGAACAATTAGAGCGTAAATTAGGTCGTGTACATTAGCACATGAAAGTTGTTGCGAGAGAGAAAAAGCAAATCTAATTGGATCTCTTCGTCATTCGAAACCTCACCGTCTGCTAATCAAATCAAATCATTCGCTACATCTTCCATCATTAATCAAGCCCACACGACAGGTAATAATGACGGAAAAAGAGGAAGCAGTGTTCCGTTCAGCGGACATGTCGCTTGTGCAGATCTTTGTACCCACCGAAGTAGCTAGAGAAACCATTTACAAAATCGGACAATTAGATATCATCCAATTCAGAGACTTGAACTCGAAAGTTAATGAGTTTCAAAGATCTTTTGTCAATGAATTGAGAAAATTGGACAATACTGAAAGACAGTACCGCTTGTTCAAGCAAGAATTGGACTATAGAGACATTCCTGTGAAGATGTATCCTTATGAGTTTGTTATACCACAACAGTCCGACATTGACGATTTAGTCGAAAGTGGGCAGTTGTTGGAGGATCGCGTTGTTCAATTGAGGGACTCTGTTGAATCATTAAACAAGAATCAAAACAATTTGAAACAGTTCAAGTTTACAATCTTGGCAGTGAATAAATTTTTCCATTACCAACTCGGTGGAGCTAGCGGTGGCTCCAATGCGATTGAAAGGACATTGCTCCCTGAGCTTGAGGAGCTGCGTTTATCTTCAACTTCGGCCTCGACTTCGCAATTCATCTCAGGAGTCATCAATCGTGACAAAGTGGGGATCTTGCAACAGATCTTGTGGAGAATCTTGAGAGGTAACTTGTACTACCATAGTGAAGAATTACAAGAAGAGATTTATGATGCCAAACACAATGCATATGTTGCAAAAAACACATTCATCATTTTCTCGTATGGGTCCCTTGTGCATGAGAGAATTGTAAAAGTTTGTGAGTCTTTGGACGCTCAAGTTTATGACGTGGATAAGAGTGAAGAAGCTAGATCCAAACAGTTGTCTGAAGTCAAGTTAAAATTAGAAGACTTGGCTGCTGTCTTATCTGAATCGGAGAATGCATTGACCTCGGAATTGATTGCCATCAGCCAAGATCTTGGAAAATGGTGGGAAATCATTGCAAGAGAAAAACAGGTTTACAAAACAATGAACCGTTGTGATTACGATGGGGCAAGAAAATTGTTACTTGGAGAAGGTTGGACTCCGACCGACTCTGTAGGTGAACTTACGCAGGTTGTCAAAGAGTTTGATCAAACACAATCGATCCCATCCATTGTCAATGTCTTGAGCACCAATAGAACGCCGCCCACGTATGTTCGTACAAACAAGTTTACTTATGCGTTCCAAGCCATTTGTGATGCGTATGGTACACCAAGGTACAAAGAGATCAATCCGGGCTTGCCCACAATCATTACATTCCCGTTCATGTTTGCAATCATGTTTGGTGATTTGGGTCATGGGTTTATCATGTTTTTAGCAGCAGCATTTTTAGTCTTGAATGAGAAAAAGTTGAGCGGAGTCAAGAAGGACGAAATTTTTGACATGGCGTACACTGGTCGTTACATTTTACTATTGATGGGATTTTTTTCCATGTACACGGGGTTCATTTACAACGATGTCTTTTCAAGATCAATGTCATTTTTCAAGAGTGGTTGGGAATGGCCAGAAAAGTTCAAGATTGGTGAAACTTTAATTGCCAAGGAAGTTGGAACCTATGTGTTTGGAATGGATCCAGCATGGCACGGAACGGAGAATGCATTATTATTTTCCAACTCGTACAAGATGAAGTTGTCAATCTTGATGGGTTACGCGCATATGACTTACTCCTACTTTTTCTCAGTCACAAACTATGTCTATTTTGATTCAGTTGTTGATATTGTTGGTAACTTTATCCCTGGATTATTGTTTATGCAAGGTATATTCGGGTACTTGTCCTTGGTTATTGTTTACAAATGGACAGTCAATTGGGCCGAGTCAAAGTACCAACCACCAGGTATCTTGAACATGTTGATATCTATGTTTTTGTCACCAGGAAATGTTGAGGAGCCATTTTACCCAGGACAAGCTACTATTCAAATTTGGTTGGTTGTCATTGCATTGATTTGTGTGCCTTGGTTACTTTTTGTCAAGCCATTATGGTTGAAGAGACAATTGGATAGAGAAGCCAAACAACATGCTCAGTATTCGTCATTGCCCAATGATGAAGAAGCAGGGGGGTCCAACGGCTCTACATACAATGGCGACAACGACAACGACAACGACAACGACAACGATGACGATGACGAAGGTGAGGAGCATGAAGAGCATTCATTTGGTGATATAATGATTCATCAAGTGATTCATACTATTGAGTTTTGTCTTAACTGTGTCTCACATACAGCCTCTTACTTGAGATTATGGGCGTTGTCGTTGGCTCACGCGCAGTTGTCTACTGTGTTGTGGTCCATGACCATTAGCAAAGCATTTGGTCCCACCGGAGTGTTTGGTGTAATTGCTGTGGTGTTTTTGTTTGCCATGTGGTTCACATTGACGGTTTGTATCTTGGTGGTCATGGAGGGAACCTCGGCTATGTTGCATTCCTTAAGGTTGCATTGGGTTGAGAGTATGTCCAAGTATTTCGAAGGTGGGGGTGTGCCATATGAGCCATTTGGATTCAAAGGTTTATTAGATAGTGTGTTCTAATTACTGCAAAAGGCAATCAAGTCGCGAGAGTCTTGCCTAGTGCTGTAAGCAATGTATACAAATCGACAAAAGTATTAGTCATTTCAAAACTTGATCTGTAGTCGAATAGCCGGTAATATTATAAAAGATCTGGCTCCGGATAGGAAAAGATCGAGAGAGTGCGGTGGAACCGAGGGTATAAAAAAACTGTGGAATTTTTGGGATCCAGACCGCAGTATACTTGGTATACATTAAGTGTGTGTAATCGCACAAATGGTAGCAAATTCATTGTTACACAAAGACCATACAGCCACAGTGATTAGTACCTAGATTTTGAGGCTGTACCACGTGTTGAGACAATAGCCTTGTGCAAAGAACCATAATACCAACGCTATTCCTCAAGACTATTAAACTATTCAGAATTGCCTCCTTACGTCTCCCCGTTCCAAGCGCTGGTTAGAATGCTTGCCCGATAGATTCAGGTGCAAGCATGGCGTGCATACATGTTATCCGTGGCAAAATTGGCGAGTAACATTCCTTGCAAAAATTACGCCACATTCCAAGTAGTTGTCATTGCTGTAGTAGTAGTAGTAGTAGTAGTAGTTGTTGTTGTTGTTGAGCGATGTAGCGTTTTGTGGGCACTGCAATTTCTTGAACACCAATGAATTCAACAAGAGACAGTAGAGGTTACTTCACGAATTAGGAAATGGATTGGCCGAAAAAGGGAACAAACCAAACCCCAGTATGTTGCAATTGTGAACAAAAAGGTAAACAGAATGGTGACTGTTTTCAAATGTCTAAAAACAAAACCTCCTATTGTTTCAACACTATACTGTTAAAGGAAGCAAACCCACGCACTGTCTTTTAATTAATGGTTTTGAGTATTACCCAAAAATGTGGTGTCTGCCGATCCCTGGCTCTATACACTCTTTCAGTACGTCTATGGTATAGTCAACATTTGCCTTTGGATTTTTGTGATCAATGCAGATGAATCTTTAACAAGGGAGGGAGGAATCTCATTTCTCCAGACTCAACATTGGTAGACGAGATAGATGTTGTCTATTTTCAACTTTCAATCTTTGTGGCACGGAGTTATTTTTAGCTGTTGCTTTTTTTTTTCTTTTCTGTGGCTGTTCCAAGGTTAAGCGACAAGCAACAACTAAGGGTACGTAGTTGAATTTTTTTTTAGACTTATGCTTTCTCAAAAGGAAAGTCTTCTAGAGTGTCGTATCCTCAAAAAGTCTCGACTGAGATGCAAGTGACACTACAAAAAGTCCTCATTGGTGCTCCTTCAACGGAAATGGAAGAAAACGTACTTCACATCTTTTGAGATTGATGAGCCACAGATCTGTTGCCACTTTGTGTCACCTATCACAAATGGGTAGGCGCACGCCTTTGACGTGCATATTGTTTATATTCATTCACTTGCACAGCAATACACTTTAGTGTGGCGCTTGCAGCATTTATGCTGAATAGATCTCTGGCAATTGCAAATACCACAGCCAGTTGCAATTTCAGGTTAATATATATATTTATGTTCTTGGTATATAAATACTGCCTCAAATTTCTCTATCTAATTTTTGCATTCACTTTCTGTCTCTTTTACCTATTCCACAAACTCAACACTTACATTCGCTTAGACAACTTACTTTACTTTCACAATGCAATTTACCAAACTCGCTGCTTTGACCGCTATCGCAGGTACAGCCGTTGCTGACTACTCCAACTCAACTTCTCCAACTTCATCTGGCACTGGTATTAAAACCACTGTCATTACAATCACTTCAGGAAACGGTACTTCAATCACCGAAATTCCAATTACTACTGGTATCACCACCGTCACTGATTTGTACACCACTTACACCACTTTCTGTCCATTGTCAACTACAGCAGCACCTGCCCCAGGTGGACAATCTACTGGTAAAGGTCCAGGCGCACAACCAACCGGTGGTGCAGCTCCAGGTGGCCAAGCTCCATCCGGAAAACCAACCGGCAGTGCAGCCCCAGGTGGCCAAGCTCCAGGCGGTCAACCCTCTGGTGCCTCTCCATCAGGAAAGCCATCTCAAGGATCTCAAACCACTCAAAACACGGTTGCTGCTCAATCATCATCAGCTCCAGCTCAAGGTTCACAAGCACCATCTGTCTCAGCTGTTTCTCAAGGTGCTGGTGCCGCCAACACTGTCCCATTCGTTGCAGGTGTCTTGGCTATGGCTGCTGCTTTGATCTAAGTCTACTTACCTTTCAGTTAGTTTGTTGACATAATGACGTTGTTGTCACTTCTACATTTCAACCACCGCGTTCAACTTTTTCTTTTTTTTTTTATTTTCATTCTATTATTTAATTTCGGTGTGATTGGATAGTTCCAGCCAATTCAGAGAAAGCTGGACCAGAGTACAAACAAGTTTTATGTTTTTTGTATTCATTTTGTTAGATTCGTCTACGTCGTTATCTGTAATGTTCTGGCGAATTTTGATATTAATCTTTCTGTATAACTTTCTAGACTTAATTTAAGAAATTGATTTACAATTAAAATTTTGGGGTAGCAATTGTTGCAGCCAAAGGTATGTAAGTGTGTTTAGTGAATAGTTCTTCAAAACTCCATGGTATCAGACTTATCAGATAATGCATTGGTGGGTGCAAATTTGCGTACAATAGAGTATCTTTGGATTTCTAACTTTGAATATTTTCTTGCCGTCTATTATTTTTGTGTGTGCAATCTTGTGTAACATAACATAACAAAACGCGACTAAAAAAAATTAAATCTTAAATTCGCCACAATCATCTACATCTCCCACACACAATTGCATTTTCATAAAGTCCAAGACCTCCTCCATCACCCTCATTCAATATCTCTATGCAACGGGTGCTTTTAAGCTGGCTTTTTGTTCCAGTTTCAATGTGGCTATTGCCAAACTAGCCATCGTATGTCAAAATCAAATTTTGGCACACTGATGTAATGAGTATAACCTTTCATCGTTGCCAGCATAGTTGGGCTTTGCTGAAGTTTACCGAAAGAGATTGAACAATCCTCTACACAGTTCCATGTTGTACGGCCCATGTCCTATTATAAACACTAATAGACTTTTGAACAAGCACTAAACATTTGGTTCTCCGTGCCCAACTCCAAAACTCCATACTCTCGTCTTTACCTCTGGTGCTCAAGTCTCCGCTCGTACGTGGTTTTACTTGGCAAATATCACCCCTCTCACGTCCATCAAATATGTTTCCCCTGACACCACCAGACGTTTGACGAAAAGCAACAACAAAGACTAGAAATAGAGTTTGCTCTATTCACTATGCACTTGTCTCCTTTCATCGACTTACAAGGAAAATTAAATGATCTCAGTTGTTGGGCACTACTAATAAAGTATAAACTTTTATTCTAGAGAGATTCAGGGGGGCTTCACTAGCCACCAATTTCTTATTGGCATTTGGCACTGCTATTTGCGGTCTACTTCCCTTGGAACAAAAAGTTGTCAAATGTACAACTTTTATCTTGAAGTCACAGCAAACTTGTCTGACGTGTTAATTCAACTTTTGGCTGTTTTCAATGTACCTCTTTCTACAATGGAATGTTGCGTTGTGGTGGTCAGAGTTGGAAAGAGATTCTGAGTCAGAATGCTTTCGCAGCGAGTAGAGCAAACGTACTGTAACGAATTAGGAAATCGAATAAACGAAAGAGGAAACTCCATAGTGAGATGTGTTTACTTTCGCTTTTCTTTTCTTTTGCTTATTGTGAAGAACAATTGGTAAAGTACGGAGAACAAAGGTGGACTGCTTATTCTGTTGACTGGTCTATAGGTTGGAGCCTGGATGAATCCAAAGTTCAAGGTGAATTCGAATTTTGGAAATTTGAGTACACAAAATTGACTCTACCTACATAGCCTCCCTTTCGTTGTCAAGATATCACATAAACACAAAAAAAAAAAAGAAATCCTTCACGGCAAAGAAGAGAGAAAGGGGTGGCGGTGTGGGGGTTGGGTGTGTGCTTTTGTTTAACTCCGCAAAAAACCTGTTGAGATTTAGTGCAACGCACAACTACCAAAGCCCTCCGTTGATCTAATAGTCTTGCAAAACTGGTTCACCAAAACCAAAGCAATGACACCGTCTTGAGCCATTTAGAACGGACCCGACGAAAATTGATGAAAGTAGCTACTGTGTAAAGACAAGGATAAGCTCTGAAATGATCTTCCCCTTTCCTCTCCCAAATGTTTAAGAAGAAATAAACAACTTTAGAAATTCGTCTCACTCAAACACTATCCCTATCTTTCGGTCCCTTCCCCCTCCCCCTGTCATTTCCTTTTTTTGATTTTTTATTTCTTTTCTTTTTTTTTTCTCTTGCTTTGCGCGTATAATTATGTTTGTGTCACAATTGTGCTCTATTAGTTATATTTCTGTTTTTGTTTTTGCTCTTTTGTTTACAAATTCCTAGTAGTGTACCCTGTACCAAAATGAAAAATCTCAATTTCCATTATCACTTTACGTTTCCATAGAGAATTCCACAATGAAAAAGGAAAAATAGCAACCCAACCTCTGCTATTATGCAACTCTGCTCGTAAAGGGAACACAGAAACTTTTACCATCGCAGCAATGCTGAAAACAATACAATTGAAAGTAAGGGCAATTGAGTCTGCACAGCAGGAGTCGGGCATAGAGCCTCCGATCTCCGCTTTCCTAGAATAGTGGGTCTTTGACAATGGGATAGAATGGGTCATACAGCGAATCCAACTGACATGAGACTGCACATAGATTGGGAAAGTGGTAAATTTGCGCCAATTACACTACCAAATGACCATTTGCTCTTCTTGTAGTCTGAATGTACGTTACACACGACAACAACTTCCCCAAATTCGATACGCAGAAGTTACGGGTTTATTGCGAGTACTTGCATGTAAACGGCATAGTCTCAGTCTCAGTTTGCATGAAATAAGCCGACAGCCAGGTATTGGTAACAGTCACTTTACTGCCATTGGTCAGCTCAAAGGTTGCAGAATGATCAAGGCACGACAACACCTGTATATTGTCTGAGAAATTGTAGATGTCTCTTATTGCAGCAGCTCTATTGCAGCTGTATTGTTCTCTTTGTTTATATGTTTATTTTGCTTGCTTGTTTGTTTTATTTATTTATTTACATTTTGTCTTGTGTAAACAGATGCAATCAAGTGTAGCTTTTACTAGTTTTAGGTGAAATTGCAGCCGTCGAAGCTTATTTTCTAGGCAATTGAAGGGATTGTTTGTTTGTGTATTTGTTTGTGTACATGATTGCTAATAATAGACTTCCTCTACTTGTATTTACCTTCATCTGTTATTTGTAGCTACAATAGAGCATGCATGCACGTGTGCAAGTCCCTTATTGTCCGTACTTTGATACAATAGCAGCAAAGATTTTGCTCTTTGGTTTACAATTTTCTTACCGATGTAGGTGGCGGTGTAGGTGTTCAGTTTGAGTAGACTATAACAGGCAGCAAATGTAAACATTCTAGTGACACAAATTCTGGAAACTCACCGATGATCAGTAGAGCAAGAGTAACTGACAAACAGCAGCCTGCGTTATTGTGAACTTTTGAATAACCATTAAGAAAATAAAAAAGAAAGAAAAGAAAAAATAAAAAAACATCCAAAGGTCCCAACTTCCACAAAATCTTGAGATTTAGTCAGAATCTAAGAATTAAAAGTTTTTTTAACTCCTCTTGCGTATTTTTCTTAACCTTTTGGGTTAAATTAAATGAATGCAAAATCTATGCAGAAAAGAAAAGAAAAGAAAAGAATTGCAGTAATATACCGTACCTAAAAGCAAAAAAAGATTTTGAAAACTCTGAATTTCACCTGCGTTTGAGATCTCGACAAAGAATATAAATACTCCCTACAACTGCCCAATTCTGTTACTTTACCTCTGCTTGTTTTCCTTTTCTTGTTTCTTCACCAGATTCACTTTACATTCGCTTAGACATACACTTTTCTTTTATCTACAATGCAATACTCCAAACTCGCTGTCTTGTCCGCTGCCGCCGGAACTGCTTTGGCTGGTTACCAAAACTCAACTGCACCAGTCTCCACCAACACTGAAGTTGAAACCACTGTCGTTACTATCACTTCATGTAAGGAAGATAAATGTACTCAAGTTCCAGTCACCACTGGTGTCACCACTGTCACCGATGTTGAAACTACCTACACCACCTTCTGTCCATTGCCAACCACTGAAGCTACAGTTCCAGCTGAAACTGAAACTGAAGTAGAAACTACTGTTGTCACCATCACTTCATGTGAAGAAAACAAATGTACTGAAGTTCCAGTCACCACTGGTGTCACCACAATTACCAATGTTGAAACTACCTACACCACCTTCTGCCCATTGCCATCATCTTCTGCACCAGCACCAGCTCCTGCACCTTCTTCTGCACCAGCACCAGCTCCTGCTCCTGCTCCAGGACAATCTTCTGCTCCAGCTCCAGCTCCAGCTCCAGAGTCCTCTGCTCCAGCTCCAGCTCCAGCTCCAGAGTCCTCTGCTCCAGCTCCAGCTCCAGCTCCAGAGTCCTCTGCTCCAGCTCCAGCTCCAGCTCCAGCACAATCTTCTGCTCCAGCACCAGCTCCAGCACAATCTTCTGCTCCAAACACCGTTGCTGCTGAATCATCTGCCGCTCCAGCTCCAGCTCCAGCTTCTGAACAACCAACCACCCAAAGTACTGTTGCTGCTGAATCATCCTCAGCTCCAGCTCAAGGTTCACAAGCACCATCCGTCTCAGCAGTTTCCGAAGCTGCTGGTGCCGCCAAGTCAGTTTCATTTGTTGCCGGTGTCTTGGCCATGGCTGCAGCTTTGATCTAATCGGGCTAAGCTTGTTGAATTTGTCTAGTGGACATTACAAGTTTTCTTTTTCTACAATTTATCTGCATCGATCAATTTTCCACAAGCATCAACTTTTCTTGTTGATCATTATTATTAACAGCATTTCGGTATTAATGGACATTTTCTGGAATTTTAATTTTATTTTATTTTTTTTTTTTTTTTCATGGTTGGATTCTACCACGATGTTGCCGTGGTGTATCCTCAATTTACATCTGTAAGTAGCACTTTTGTATAAGTTTTCTGTTCTATTAATTTCAGAATACAAAATGGTTTTCGGTTTTTCAAAGTGGGAAAGAGAAAGAATGTAGTATATTTTCATAAACTCTTATGTTTTTATTGTAGTGGATGTAAATTTGCAAAGATTTCACTCATACTTGCTTTTGTGTTACTGTATCAGCCTGATGACTATAAAAGTTTAACTTTGCAATATAAGCTATGATGGCAAACCTTCTGTTGATATGCCTTCGCTTGTAAGGTAAGATCTTAGCAACTACTGCTTTACTCTACTCTCCATTACAACAAGTTTTGGAAATCTCGGCGTTCATCATATTTCTTTTACATTACATTGCCATGAAACTAATGTTTATTGTTTTTGGTTTATTTTTATACCAAAAATGGAACATAGAACCTCAAGACCAGTGAGTCAATGTGGTTCATAATACAAGTGTTTTCAGGTCTAGATGCTTGCATTCGCTTCCCAGAAGGACACAGGGCTCAACTTGCCAAGATTCTTTGCTTCTCCAAATATGGAACGTTTTTGCAAGCAATTTTCTTTTTTCTCCGCGTTTCGCCAAAATTTAGAATTTGTAAACAAATAAATAAATAAACAAGTAAACAAAGTAAACAAAGTAAACAAAGTAAACAAGTAAATAAGTAAATAAGCTAAACTTGTCCTATTTTTATAAGGCCCAGTAAACAGATGGCCCCCATGCATACATTGAAGATACATATACGGAGTTTAGTTGCAAACGAGAAATACGTTTGAGGAGATGTATTGTTGCTAGTGTCGTGGTCATTCGCTAAAACTCCCTGTTCAAATGACCCGCGTGCTGTGGCCGTCTTTCGGAGCTATGAAAGGCGTATCACTCTTTTTGGTTTTGTGGTTGTGCTTTGCCTCAGGGTTCAAAGTACGGTAAAGATGGGTGCAAATACTGGCAAAATAACCGGTGGTCATTCCCTTTCAGGATCATTATAAATACTGGTCAATTCGCCGCCAAATTTACAATGGAGGTGCCGGTTTGCTACACCACTCAGTTGACCAGTAATGAAGTTATCAAAGATAGTTGCACTCTCAACCTTGGTTGCTACCGGTTATGGATTTGGTTTCAATCGTCGCGACACAACGTCTGATGTGTCGTCATTACCCACTGGTTTGACTTATGGTACTGCAAGCGGTTCTGTGCCACCTGTTTCCTTGCCATCTCCGATCTCGAGTGATGCAATTCCATCGGATTCACTTCCATCATCTATTCCCGGTTCTATTCCACCAGTATCCTTGCCATCGCCAATCTCAAGCTCCTATCCACCAGGCTATTTCCCATTAGCACTCTCTGATTCCATTCCACCAGTTTCCTTACCTTCACCTATCTCAAGTGATTCCATTCCACCAGTTTCCTTACCTTCACCTATTTCAAGTGATTCTGTACCACCAGTTTCTTTACCTTCACCTATTTCAAGTGATTCTGTACCACCAGTTTCCTTACCTTCTCCTATTTCAAGTGATCTGGTCTCATCTGTACTTTTGCCAACTACAACTTCTGGTGACACCAGTCCACCAGTCTCATCGCCTTCGCCTGTTACGGTATCGCTGAGCACAACACCTACTGTATCACTTCCAACGGTATCATTTAGTGACTCAGTTGAGTCGTCAAGTACAACATCTGAGAGTGACAGTTATTCATCCTCATCAAGCTCAGACGCGTATTCATCCTCACTGGATGAGATCACAACCACCATTACAACTACTGAGATCACAACCACCACCTGCCATAATGATGACTGCCACACCGTCACCATTACTACTGGCGTCACAACCATCACCGAGACTGGTACCACGTACACCACGTGGTGTCCGATTGAAACTGAGACAATAACAGTCCCGTCCACTACAATCGAAACTACTTGTATCACAATCACTGAATGTGACCACCACGGCTGTTCAACCAAACCAGTCACGACTGGAGTGACAACAATAACAGAGATTGAAACAACTTATACCACGTGGTGCCCCATCCCCACAGAAACCGTCACAATTCCAGAGACAACCATTGTAACAATCACTGAATGCAAGTATGATTATTGTACCACAAAGCCTGTTACTACTGGGGTCACGACTATTACCGATGTTGAAACAACTTATGTGACTTGGTGCCCATTGCCAACTGAAACTGTAACTGTGCCAGAAACAACAGTTGTTACAATCACAAAATGTGAAAATGATGTTTGTACAACGGCCCCAGTAACTACTGGTGTAACTACAATTACTGAAGTTGAAACAACCTACACCACTTGGTGCCCATTGCCTATTGAGACGGTTACAGTTCCAACTACAACTATAATCACTATGACCTGGTGTGAGTATGGTGAATGTACCACAGCCAAAGTCACCACGGGTGTAACTACAATTGCCGATCATTGGACAACGTACACCACCTGGTGTCCAATCACGACCTCAACAACCTCTTTGCAACCACCACCACCACCACCAATTTCTTCATCTGCACCTCCACCACCACCACCCCCGGCACCGTATGAAACTACTGAGACGGAAATCATAGCTACTACAATCACCATCACTTCTTGTACTGATTACCATTGTGTTCCCGTTGTAATCACCACTGGTGTGACAACTCACACCGAGTATGATACTACGTACACAACATATTGTCCCTTACCAGACGAGACTACATACACCTATCACTCGTCAGATAACACCACAGTTCCACTCCCCTCAGACGAAACTACAGTCACTATTGATCCAACAGAGGAATCTACAATCTCAATATCAACCGTTGATCCATCGTCTGGTTCAGAAACTTTCTCCACGTTCCTTTCGGATGGAGACTCAACGGACTCATCTGTTGTCAGTGGAATTTCAAAGGGAATCACATCAAGTCTGGACACGTTTAGCGATACAACTACGTGGGACACGTTTGAGACACCATCCAGTGAATCTGGCATCTTTACAATCTTGCCAATCTCTGAATCCAGTGGTATTGTAGCTAGGGAGGTGGACAAGGACGTTTCAGCGATATCAAATTCCGGGTCTTATAACAAGTTGTCAGTGTTTGTGGGAATTTTGGCCATATGTTTCTTGATGATTTGAGCCTTTTGCTTGAACGATTGAAATCAAATTGCGTTTCATTTTGTCACTCATTTTTGCTATTCAGTTCGATTTATGATGAGTGTGGCATCAGGGGATTAACAATTGGGCGATACTTACAAGGTAGTAAGCTCATGCGTTGTTGATTATCATTGTTGCCGTTCTTTAATTGCGATACATTTCGGTTTATACATATATATCTTTGGGAATACATGTTTTCGGTAGTGAATTCATCGTAGAATGAACATTTACACAAATCATTACAAAATTCTACCCTGTCTAATATTACAAATATAGGTCGTCATTTATATCATAAACTTTCACCTCTTCTCTGTCTTGGCCAGTCGCCGAAACATCTTCATTGCTCGTATCCAAACCACTCACTTTATCATCAACATTGAACTCGTCAACTAGCAACTTGAATCGATCTTGCAAACGCACCGCATTGACATCACTTACTCCGTATACTTTGATATTGGCAATTTTCACATCATGGGAAAATTTAAAGTAGATGTCCTTACCAGCAATTTGTTGATTCACGAACTGGATTGGCATCTTTATATGGTTGATTCCCTGCCGTATTTGACTTGTTTTGATAAATTTGAACTTACATGCATTCACATTGTGGTCTGCCAAATCTTCAACTTTGGGGAACTTCAATATGTCAAAACCCGCTTTAGTATGCGGTTTGAACCCAATTGATACACGCACTGGACTTGGTGCATCGTCGTTCTCTAGTTGGATTAGAATGTCAGTAGGTATAATAGCTGCACTCAATCGTACACCTAGCTCATCACCACCTTGCCAAGCAGTGTCATCATCTAAAAGAGCATGAACTGCATTGTTTCCATCTTGCAAATCCTTGGCAAAGATAATCCATCCGTACCACATTTTTTGAAACAAATTGTGCTTGTCCAAATTTGATGTCAAGAATCCGAGTATTCGTGAACCGCGGTTGTAGTCGGCGTAGTTGACAAGCTTTGATCCTTTTGACACAAATTCAAGCATAGAGTTGATCCAAACTTTGTTGCGAGAGAAGGAACTCTTAAATGGATCCGTGGTTATGGTATCATTAACAATGTTTAAACCATCAAGTATTTTATCCACGTTCTCCCCTACCCGAAGAGTGATTTCGTCGATTGAGTTTGAAATGGCTTGGTCAACATACTCCTTCAATTCATCCACATTTTCTAGCCTTTTATCTGGTTGGAGCTCCTTTAGTTTCTCCTCGATAAAAGACTTACCGTAGGAGTCAAGAAACAGGTTCAAAAATTGATGAAAATGGGGAGACACTTGTACTTGGCCGTGTTTCATATAAATCAACTTCTCAGTATCACCTTCTGCCGCAGGCTTCTGTTTCAAATTTTGAAATTTCGAGTTTATTTGATCCAATTGGGATTCTGTATACCGCTGAAGCTCCCGCAATGATTTGTCAAAACTCTCGATTCTCGTATTTACACTTCCAAGGTCAACTTTCGGATTGTGGGTTGATTGAGATTTGGTATTCCACATCAAGAACAACGTCACCAAAAGAACCATCAAATAGGCTATAACAAACCACACAAGGAACAGCTTCCCGCTTACTTTTCCTTTACTATGCGTCACTATGCTGTTCTTATCTGCGGTGTCGTTGTCCTCTCTCTCATCGTGGTCAGTGGTCTTCTTCAACCTTGGTGATTCAATTTGTGGAATGTATTGAGGCTCCTCCGAAAGTCTTCTCTTGTAGTCCAAGTACTCACAATCCTCACTGTCTTCATCATTAGAAAATTCATTATATGTGTCTTCATCACTCAATACATAATCGTCGTCTTCATCTTCATTGTAATCATTCTCGTACTGGTTGTTAATGAACTTCAAGTATGATTCATTCAATTCCTCTTCATTTACAAAGTCTTCTTGCTTGCCGTTCAAAGTCATTGATATCTCTGTTTCTACATCATACTTGGCAGCTCCACTGCGACGATTCAGCTGATTGACCGGTTCACTCATACGGGTATTTCGATGCTCATTGAATTCCGGCTCCTTTATTGGTGATCGTATAGGATTCGACTTTCCAATCATCTGCTTCAAATGAATAGAGTGTTCATCATCTGCGTCGTTGATGAATCTCGGCAACTTGGTAAACGCAGATGTCATTTGGTTTTAGGGGATCCAATGATGAAGATAGAATAAATGAGCTAGAATGGAAAATGGAGATTTTGCGCTTTCAAAGAGAAAAATCACGACAATCAGAGACGCGTGCATAGTCCATCACGTGAAGGATTGAAAGCTAAGAAATAAAAAAAATAAAATAAAATAAAATAAAATAAAAATGGTACCCAATCCCATACTGTGCAGCAAGTTTCAAATGGCATTAATGTAGTTTATTTGAACCATTGAGTAGTCTGTACCAGTTTATTCCTGTATATGAGCTGTTCAGAAAATGCCTGTGACGTTTTGATGCTTGTAGCTCTATCATGAGGTCCTAAACAGTCATCAAATTCCCCGAAACGGACTTTTCCCCACAGTAGAAATTCAATTTTCAATCAAGGAAACCCTAAAGAAACCTCACATGGACGTGGCCACTTTGATACTTCGCTCACATAAATATCTTCTGGCTTGATCTTCAAAGCGTTTACTATTACAACAGCTACAGCCATGACTACATTGATCAGCTTGCCGGCCGAAGTGTTACAAGATCTTTTCCAAAACATTAACCAGCACCAAGCATTGGCGCTTGCGCCCTTGCATTCATATTTAAATTCATTAACAAAGGCAAAGCTATATCACAGAATTTTGGTATACAAGTCCTCTCAGTTGGGAGCTAGTTTCGAGGGACCAACAGGAAGAATGGTTGATGAATTTCGGTATCATAAAACTATCAACAATCTTAAAAGCAATTCCTACACCATCATATCAATCAACACACTTGAAAAATACATGACGAGAATGGAAAAAGATCAAGTTATTACCCGATTTGAAATTATGGAATGCAATTTTATGATATTGGATTGCATTCTTAGATACTTCACTTCTATCAAAACTTTGGAGGTCATTCTGCAAGATTCTGCGTATTCTAGACATAGTTTCCACGAATGCCTTCGTATATACCTGAATTCCGTAAGGCCAAAAACTTGTTATTTGCCCCATAAGGATCCATATAGGTATGGATTTTTGAATGAGGATTATGTTACGAAGCTCAAAATTTTGGATTTTCAGTTGCAGGAAGCATTTGAGTTTGTTGAGCAATTACACGGAGTCAAAGAGTTAGTTCTCGATTTCTACCATCGGAGGTCTGAAATTGCTTACTTTGACTTTCGGTCATCGTTAATGCTTCAAAAACTACACTTGGCGGAACTTCCACAAAAGTCTGTCTCTTATTTCAGCGATGCTTTCTGCGTTAAGAAATTACTGGAGTTGACGATCCTGGGCGAACTATTTCCAACTCAGATATTCAAAAACCGCGATTTCAGCGCCGAGACTCCAAACCTAATTCAGCTTTCTATTCTATTTAAAGACGAGTATGCCTTGTTAGCGCTCCAGGACATGCAAAAGCTTCGACACTACTCCTTGAAGGCTCTTGTTGTTTCTACCTACGAATGTGGCCAAAATTTTGCCAACGCAGTGTGTGAATTGCGTGCTCTGTTTCCTCTAGCAAGCATCAATTGGTGGCACAACTCGGAAAAGTTCTTGTTGGATCATTCATGCGATGTTCTTGCGGCATTCAGCCCACTGCTAGCTACCAACATTGTGGGATGCCATATACGCCAAAGGTTCTCAAGCACTTTATCACGAGATGTTATTATCCATTTAGATTGTGGAAAAAAAATGATAATGAAGTTGAAACACTACTATTCGGACTTCGAATTGAGTCAAATTCACAAAGGTACGGAACTGCGTGAGTATCATATTTTGAGTGACAACATAAACGGTAAATACTGTTGAAGTATGGTAATTCAAGGAATCTTTTCAATAAAGTTTCTTGTAAATTACACAGGACCTTGCCAAGGAAAAATTACTAATCGCAATCTAAATTAAGGTTTGCAATTTATTTAATATAA